CAACCCCACACACCTGCAAAAAAAAAAAAAAAAAAACAAAAAACCAAAAAAAAACCCACTGAAAAATCCCATTTTGCTCCAAAGAGGTGTTTTTACTCCTGGAGAAATTAGTGACAACAATTTATGAGGCTGTAAATAATTATTTTCTGGTTTATTTGGATGGTCTCCTGCAGATTCAAGGAGGCAGAGCAGTGAGGAAAAGTTCCTTTTTATCCCCCTCATCTTTAATTTTAAAGGCCATGTGCAAGGAGGAGCTGTCAGGCAGGAATGGGAAGCAGAAGGAGAGGGACATTTGGGATTAAGGAACTGGCTGGAGTGGACAAGGCAGCTCTTCACAGCTTTAAATCCCATTTTATATCCCCCATTCCCACACAGGGAGAAATAAACAGAGTTTTGCTGTGACTATTCGGGGCCTTTATGGTGGTTGTAATGTTCTGTGCTGCTCACCTTGCTCTGGCCCTGCATTTTCACACTGAGACAAGTTTCTGCTGGGAAATGAGCCCTGAAAAGAGTTTACCTGCCTCCAAATGGCTCCAGACCCTGGGGAAATCCTCTGGAGCTGCACCAGGGAGCTCTGGGATGGCCAGAATGGCACCCTGGGCACAGCCCTGGCTTGGTGCCCTCGCCAGGGGATCCTGAGTGTGGCACCAGCGGGAAGAGCTGCAGAGGGGACATTGGAAAATCCAGGACTATGGAATTCAGTGTTTATATATTCAATACCATCACATTCAGCGCTATTAAATTCATATTCAGCCCTATAAAATGTTGTTGAAAATCCGCCTCCACCATTAAAGCCAAAGGTCCTTGAGGAAAACCAACGGGGTTTTCTTTTCCCACTTTTCTGGCTGAGCAGCTCGGCAGGTTCAGAGCCATCCCTCGGGAAATCACTGGGTTATTTATCCCACTCTTCAGGCCACCCTCACGTACACCCCAGCCTCTTTCCTACAAGATGAGCATAAGATTTCCTCTCAGGAGGAGAAGCTCCTGCATTAAACGGTGCTGGATGCATCCGTGCCCTAAAACCTGACTTAAGCATTATCAAATCCTACCGGATCTGCTCCCAACTCTTTCCGAGGAGGAGCAGATTCCCTGCTCTCCCCAGCTCTCCGCATGCCCCGTGCCAAGCCCAGCAAGCCCCGGGTGCAGTTCCAGCCTCCCCGAGGTGTTTTTTCAGCAGCACAACTCAACATCCCGCTCCTTGCCAAGCCCGCGGCCTTGCCGCTCCGTGGTGGCCGGGAGGAGGGATCCATCCCGCCAGGAAAACATCGGGAATGGCTTTAGCAGCCCCCACGTGTGGGGTTTGTTTGCAGAGCCGGGCCGGGGCTCGGCAGCTGATCCCGCCTGGATTTACAACCAGCCAAGGCTTGCTCAGCCTTAAGCGGGACATCAATCCTAAGGAAAATATTGGGAGGGAGTTTTGTTTCTCTTTCAGGGCGCTGGAGGAGCCAGGGAATATTCCCCAGGGAGAGGCAGAGAGAGCCACCTGGGCTACATGGTCTTGGGAGGCTTTTCCAGCCTCAAGGATTTCATGATTCCAGGAGGGTTCCCTGTGGGAAGGAGCTGTTCGTGTCTCACGGCACCTCCCGCTCCCACCAGAGGCACCAACCCGGCGGGTTCCCAGCAGGAATTTCCAGCAGAGGGGTGCCGGTTTTCCCGGGAAAGGCGGGAGGGAGAGGAAGGAGCCCGGCGCTGTCCTTTCGCCACATTCCGTGCGGGATCCCGGCTCTCCCAGCCCTTTCCAGAGGCGGCGGCTGCTCCTGCCGGCCCCTCCTGGCACGCGGCTCCCAGATGTGCCGAGCAGGATTTGCAGGGACCAGCCTTCAATCCCCCCCTCCTTCCAGCCCCGGACTCGGCCGTTGACCGGGATTCTTCCCAAAATACTCGGTGTTTTTCAATATCAAGCCCTGGGAAGGAAAGGGGCTCCCTGGCATCCAGAGCAGTGGGATGCGGCTGGAGCTGCACATCCCCACGCTCCACTCAGGGCATGAAATGAGATTCCAAAGCCACTGAAACCATCCCCGGGCAGAAAAGGAGGAGAAAATCCTGATAAAGAGAAAAGCAGGATGGATCCGTGCGATTTATTGCGGATTTTCAACGCTCCGTGTTGCCCTCGCATCGGAAACCTTTCCCATCAGGAATTTTTTTATTTAAAGGATCCGGGATCCCGCTCTGGTTTTCACTTTGAGAATTTCTCGTCAGAGAAGGCAGAGGGTTTTTTTAGGGGGAAAAAAATAAAATCAAATGGAAAAACTCCCTGGGGGTTTGGTGTGGTTTTAATCCGGGTGGGTTTGAGGAGCCTCTGGCAGGGAGGGATTTTAAGGAAGAAAATCGCTTTTGACAAATATTATTGTTAATTATCGAAGCTGTGGCCTTGACAGACCTGACAGAGGTGCTCAGAGGGAAGCTCTGGAGAAAGATTTTATTTTGCTGAGCTCTCAAACGTTTTCCTTCAGCGACCACGAAGATTTTTTGGCATCCTCAAACTCCCTGCATTTGGGCAAAAGGCTGGAGAAAAAAAATCCCGTTGGAATTTTGTGATGGGTCTGACACACAAAGCGCAGGCAGAGACACCCAGAACTTACTGGGGGTTTTCAGAGTGTCAGATCCCACAGGATTTTCCAGTTCGGTTTGATCCAGATGGAAAAGGAGCTCCATAAACTCCTGTAAGAGCCCCAGCGTTCCTGAATCAGTAATCAATTAATAAGAATAAAATAATGTAGCGTAGGATGGCGGTATTAGATAACAACACAGCAAGAGAATATATTATTGTTATTGTATAATGATTTAACAGCATTATTCTATTACAGTATAATATTAATTATATTATTTTGTAACAAATAGTCGGGAATAAATACTGGTGAAAAACCCAGGACCCCCTACCTTTAACTATTCTAATCTCCAGCTGCTGCAGCAGAAGGACATCCTTGACATATCCTATCCAATATCCTTGATATTTCCACCCGGCTTACCTGATATATCTATTTAAAAAAAAATAAAAAGAAGAAAGTTTTCAGAGCTCCCTGCTCCTCTGGGTTTTTATTCAGCAAAATTAATGACGTAAAATCGCGCCTGTCACCAGAGGCTCAGCCCGCCATAAAAATACCCACAAAATTCCAGCAGCTTTGGCAAAACCAGGGAAAATTAGGGGGTTTTAAATATTTTTTTTTCACGCCGGATCGTGTTGAAGCGGGGAAAGAGGAGCTGGAGAAGGGAAAGAGGAGCCGGAGCAGATGGAAACCATCGCGACCAGGGCAGGGCAAGGAATGGTCAGGGGGGAGCAGATTTGGGGGCCCGGTGCTGCTCCTGGAGCTCCGCAGGGAGCTGGACAGGGAGCAAATTAATTGGGATTTTCTTGCCACATCTCACCTGAGCAGCCGCCCCTTTCCTTTTCCTTCTTTTCCTCTATTTCTTTTCCCATTCCTTTCAATAATTTTCTGCTTTCCCTTATTTTTCCTTAGTTATTTTCCTTTATCCTAATTTTAAAAACTATTTTCATTTTGCTTTTATTTTCCCTTCCTTTTTTCTTTTCCCTCGCTTAACTTTCCTCCATCATCTACCTCTCTTCCCTTCTTATTTTTTTTTCCTTCTTCGTTTTCTTTTCATGTTGATTTCCCTCCATCTTCCGCTTCGTTTCCTATTATTCATGTTGATTTCCCTCCATCTTCCGCTTCGTTTCCTTTCTATTATTCCTTTCCCTCTTTTTTTTTTTGACCTTTTCCCGTTTGCCTCAGCTCCCTTTCCATCTCCGCTATATCCAGGCGCACATTCCAGCGGGGACTGGATCCCGGTGATGTCCCCGGGAACCCAGCAGGGTTCTGGGGAAGCGGGTGGCGTGCGGGGAGCAGGTGGGGGAATCTTTTCCTGCCGGGATCTTTTCCTTGGAAATCCTCATCCCCAGGGAGCGAGGGATGCTCCAGCCCCGCAGCTCGTCCGCGCGCTGGCCGCGGGGGGGAAAAAGCTCCTCCGCCTGCGGCGAGGGACCCCCAGACCTCCCAAAAAACCCATCCCCGGGGATCCGCAGGGCCGTCAGAGCCGCACCTGCCTTGCCCGGCCGCTTTTCGATCGCCGCTCCCCGGGGCGGGCACGGCGAGCCCATCGCGGCGGGGCAGCCACCGGGCGGGCACCGGCGGCGGGAGGCTCCCGGTAAATCCATCCTCTCCTTTTCCCGGGGCTTCTTCCAGCGCTGAGGCCCCGCTGGGATCCGGTGCCACAGCTGGATGTGATGCTGCTGGTGTCCCCTGCTCTCGCTGGGGGACAGGGGGGTGACGGGCGCTGCCCCAGCCCGAGCCCCCCGCTTTACACCCCCCAAGGGGAGACTTTTCCAATCTCTGCTTCCCCCCGAGCCCCCCACCTTCCAGTCTTTCTCGGGAAACACTCACGGTCCTCCCAACCGAGCTCTCCGTGAGGGGGGGATAAAAATCCCCGGGAATCCCGCGGCCGCTCGCCCCCGCCGCGTTTGACGGATTCTCTCCCGGGTGGGGTTTTTTGGGGCCGAAACAGGCGGATTTCTCCCCCGGCAGCTGGGCAGCAGGGGAGCCCCCCCGGGGCAGGGCTCCGTGTCTCCCGAAAGCGCTCCCGTGCCGTGCCGTGCCGTCCCCACCCGCGGCTGCCGTCGGGGCCGGAGGCGGGGCAGGTGCGTGTCCCTGTCGCGCGTGGGAACCCCGCGGGGACGGACCGGGGCACCCGCGGCTCGGGGGCCATGAGACCCCCGCGGTGTCCCCGCCGTGCCCTCCCGCGGCTCGGCGGCGCTCGGGGGGGCTCCCCGGCGGCGGCGGGGCCCCGAGGGGGCGGGCAGAGGGGGCGGCTCCCCCGGCCCCGCCGGCCGCGGCCATTTAGGAGCGGGCGGGAGCCAATGGGCGGCGGCGCCGCCGCCGTGACGGCCGCGATTGACGCGATTCCCACGTCAAATTGATCCCGAGGAGCGGCGGGGGCTCCCCGCGAGCGGGGCTCGCTCCCGGCGCCGCCAGGACCCCCCGGCCCGGCCGCCCCCCGGGCTCTCTATGCCGCGGCTGCGGAGCGGCCGCCCGGCGCTGCCCCCTCCCCGCGCCGGGCCATGGGTGAGTGCGGCCGGCCCCGGACGGGCTCCGGGACGGGCTCCTGGCGGAGCAGGGCACCGGGAAAGGGGCAGGAGGCGGCTGGGGATGCCGGGGTGCCGGGAGGGCTCCGGGCTGCTCCGTCCTCCCCGCGCCTCCCTTCGCTTTCGCTCCGCTGCCTCCTTGCGAGTTCTGCTCCCGTTCTCGTACTTTTGCGTTCTATCCTTTTGTCCCGCTCTCCTTTTTCTGTGTCCTTTTTTTTCTCCCCTCGTCGTTTCTGACTTTTCCTTTCCTCTCATTCTTTCCCTGTCTTTCCTTACCCTTCTTTATTTGCTGTCACTTTTATCTCACTTTTTTTTTTGTCTGTATTTCTCCTTTCTCTCTTTCGCCTTACCTTGGGCTCTTTCTCTCTCTTTTCCCCTCTTCTCCTCTCAATCTCTTTTTGTTTTTCCTTTTTCCTCCCTTTCATTTTCCTGTTTTCCCCCCTTCCTTCCCCCCCTTCATTTTTCCTTTTTCACCCCTTCTTTTTTTCCTCCAATTTTTTCTTCCTTTTTTTCCCCCCTTCCCTTTTCTTCCATTCCTTTTCCTTTCTTCCCTTTTTCGCTCCTTTCCCCCTCCCTTCCTCGCGTCCCCTTTCCCTTTCTCCCCTCTTTTCCCTCTCCCCTTCCCGCTGCAGCGCCATCCCCATCCCGGCCCCGCTCGCTGCGCGGGCAGCCCGCGGGCACCGCGACCTCTGCCGTGCCATCCCGATCCGCGCCATGCCGTGCCATCCCGCCCCGCAGAGCACACCTACGGCGAGGTGAACCAGCTGGGCGGCGTCTTCGTGAACGGGCGCCCTCTGCCCAACGCCATCCGCCTGCGGATCGTGGAGCTGGCGCAGCTCGGCATCCGGCCCTGCGACATCAGCCGCCAGCTCCGCGTGTCGCACGGCTGCGTCAGCAAGATCCTGGCCCGCTACCACGAGACGGGCTCCATCCTGCCCGGGGCCATCGGCGGCAGCAAGCCGCGGGTCACCACGCCGGCCGTGGTCAAGCACATCCGCGACTACAAGCAGGGCGACCCCGGCATCTTCGCCTGGGAGATCCGCGACCGCCTGCTGGCCGACGGCGTGTGCGACAAGTACAACGTGCCCTCGGTCAGCTCCATCAGCCGCATCCTGCGCAACAAGATCGGCCCGCTGGCCCCCGCCGGGCCGCCCCCGGCCGCGCTGCCCTGCGCGCACATCTACCAGTACCCGTACCCGGGCCCCGCCGCTCCGCCGCCCGCCAAGGCCGGCCCGCACCCCGGGGGACACCTCGGGGCCCCCCCGGTGGCGCTGCCCCGCTCCTGGCCCTCGGCGCACTCGGTCACCAACATCCTGGGCATCCGCACCTTCGTGGAGCAGGCGGGTGGGTACCGGCAATTCCGCTCCCCCCCACAACCCTCTCGTCCTTTCATAGTTTTGGTTTTTTAGCTTATTTTTGTCGGTTTAGTTTTTTTAAATTATTATTTTTAAATTTTTTTGTCTCTTTGTGTTGGCGGTTTTTTGTTCGGTTGGGTGTTTTTTTCGTTTGTTTGTTTGTTTTGTTGGTTTCGGGTTTTTTTTTGTTTGTTTCGGGGGTTTTGTTTGTTTCGTGCCTTTTCGCTCGCTCGGGGATTTTATTTTTTTTTTGCTTCTTTCGGCTTTTTATTTGGTTCGTGCCTCTTTGTTCATTTCGTGCCTTTTTGCGTCTTTCCTTCTTTTTTATTAGTTTCAGCTTCTTAGTTTATTTCGAGTTTTTGTTGTTGTTTCTTTCGTTTTTCGCTGTTTGTTCCAATTTTTTTGTTGTTGTTTCGTACACTTTCCTTTCCCCCCCCGCCCCCCATTATTCCCCCTTTTTTCTCCCAAGGGCCTCCCCCCGCTCCACCAGCCCGTCGGGGCGGCGGGGCCATATGCGGCCTCGGCTCAGCCACATCTTGAACTTTTTATGAAAAATGTGGAAAATATTTTCCTAGGGATGATAGATTGCCGACCGCAAATTCGGAGCCCTGAATTTAGCTCCGCAAAGGGGGATTAAAAAAAAAATAATATATATATATTTGTGAAAAGGAGGGGGAAAGAGGGAAAAATAAGAGGAGAGGAAAAATCAGGGAGGAAAGGGAAGAGAAGGCAACTCGGATCCGGCCTCCTGGATTCTTCCGAAGAATCTGGGAATTTTGGGGCTCCGGGAGCACCGGCAGCGCCAAGGCAGAGCCCCGGCGGCTCCAAGGGGGGACACGCGGGCCGTGGCAGGGGGTTGCGGGTCCTTTTATCCTTCCAAAAGCCCGAGTAAATCAACCGCATGCGTTTTCCCCCGCGCAATCATTTATCCTTAAAATTCCGATGTCACTTCTCCAAATCCCCTTCGTCAGGAGAGAAATTGGAGCCCCTAAATTATAGGGGATTGGAAATTGGGAGAGGGAGGGGGGAGACGGCGAGCGGGTTTTGGGGGGGACACCACAGTCTCTCCCCGCCGTGTGATCCCAAATTTCGGGATGCTGGAGGGAACGCGGATTCTTGTGCCCCCAGTCCATGGGTTTAGGCTTTTGGAAAAGCGGCAATTCCCTCAGTTTCACCCCCAAAAGCTGCTCGGGCCTGGCCCGGGGGGCTCGGGGCTGACGTTTTGTTCCCCAGGGGCTCTGGCTGGCACCGAGGGGGCCGCGTACCCCCCAAAAATGGAGGAGTGGCCCAGCGTGAACAGAAGCGGCTTTCCCGGGCCGGGCCAGGCGGTCAACGGGCTGGACAAGGCTGCCATGGACGGCGACATCAAATACCCGCAGGTGAGGGCTGGGGGGACACGGGGGGACAGGGGACATCAAACAGCCGCAGGTGAGGGGCTGGGGGGACACGGGGGGACAGGGGAGGACAAGGCTGCCGTGGACGGCGACATCAAATACCTGCAGGAGAGGGCTGGGGACAGGAGGGGACAGGGAAGCGTGGCACGAGTGGGGCTGGAATGGGGCAGGGGAGGACAAGGCGGGGAGAGCAGGGAGGGGCCAGGGAGGTGGGAAGAGAGGACAGGGAGCCCCGTCCGCCCCCGAGAGGGATCCCCCTCGGATTCTGAGCCCCTGTCCCCTTCTGTCCCCGTCCCTGTCCCCAGCCCGGCGCGGGGCTCTCCTCCATGGGCACCTTCCTGCCGGCCTGCGCTTATCCCCCCTCCAGCCAGCCCGGCGTCTACGGCGGCTCCCCCGGCGCCTACATCGCCCCCGGCCCCCCCTGGCAGCCGCAGGGGACCCCCCTGGGCCACCACGGCCACGGCGTGACGGTCGCCGGCGGCGAGCTGGCCATGGCCTTCAAGCAGCCCGGCAGTGAAGGTGAGCGGGGACAGCGCGGGGACAGCGCGGGGACAGGGCCGGCGGGGAGCAGCAGCCGCAGGAGGGGTTTGAGTGATCCATGCCATTCCCGGGGTTCCGGGGATCCCCGCCACATTCCGGCTCTGCGTTGGAATTTCCCTGCTGGCTCGCTGGGAAGCGCCAGGGAATGGGGAGGATTCCCGGGCTGCTCATCCCCCCCGGGAATGTGACAGAGCAGGAGCCTCTCCCCCTGTTCCCCCATTCCCCCGATTCCAAGAACCGGGAGCCTTTCTGCGAAAGCAGAAGCCTTGTCAGGGAATCATTAATTCCTAGTAATTACCTGTTAATTATGAACTGACAGCAATGATTGAACGATTTGTTTAGAGTTATTAGTTATCATAATTAACTGTTATTTTATTTAATTGGTTCCCGGGGTTATTAATTAATTATTTCCCTCCGAACGCTCCGCCGGGAATCCCACGGGAGCAATTTGAGGCTGTCCGAGGGGGCGTTGCTTTTATGTCCCGTTAATTATTTCGCCTCATTAACAGAGCTCGATTCTCTCGTTTTAAAAATCCCGATTTTTCCACCCTGGCTATAAAATCCCCTTTGACATTTTTGTAATTTTACCCGCATTTTTTTTTTACTTTCTGTTATTTTAATTAATTTACAATTAATTCCCTGTTTATTCGTTCTTTTTCGTGTTGTTTTCTCTGGGGTTTAAATTTTTTTTGGTTGTTGGCTGTTTTGTTTTTTTTTTCTTTTGTTTGATTGAGTTTTTTATTTGTTTGTTTTTAAATAATTTTAACGTTTCTAACGTGCTGCGAGTTATAACCTCAGCTGTGCCGGGGAGGAGCGATTGAGGGAGAAAATAAATAATTCAAACCGATTATTTAAAGATTAAAAAAAAAAAAAAAAAAGGAAAAAAAAAAAAAAAAAAAAAAGAAAAAAAAAAAAAAAAAAAGAGAAAGGAAAGAGAGAGAAGGAAAGAAAATGAATGAAATAAAATTGGAAAGAAGGAAAGGGGGGAAAAGTATATAAAACTACCACAGCCACCTTTGCATATTTAACATAATTTCGAAGTATTTAAAATTATTTGGAGCTTGAATTTTCTGATTTCCCAATTTTTAAGCTGTTTTGTCCCCAGACTTTCTCTAAACATTTGTAGGTTTTTGATTTATTGGTGGGGTTTCTTTGCGTGTGGTTTTTAAATTGATTTTTATTTTTCTCTTTAAAGTTTATTTTTAAAAATTCCCATTTTTCCCTTTGGATCGGTTTTCTGGTTTTGCCACTTGTCTGGGACGAGGAAAATGTTGGATTATCCGACAAACGAGCTGGAGGAGGAAGGGTAGGGGGGGCTGGGGGTACCTGTAGCGAGTGGGAAAAATGGGAAAAGGCTGGAAAGAAGGAAGAAAAATCCAGCCGGGCAATTTCAGCCCTTTCCGAGTTTCTTGGATTTCCCCCGAAACCTCTCCCTGCTCATCCCCGTGCCTCCAGCATCCCCGGGATAAATATCCCGGTGCCTGAAGGCAGAATTCCCGAGGGCTGAGCTGCGGTGGGACGGAGCTCAGCAGGAATTCCATCACCTCTGGAATGGTGGCACGGTCCTGTCCCCTTCCCTTCTCCGGCACAGTTCCCTACCAGGACACCCCAAATTTTAGGAATTTTTAGGGATGTGTTCTGTGCGTGGCTGGGACTGGTCGGGGCCACCTCGCCAGGTCACCCCACGTCCCTGGCAGTGCCACCAGCCTTGTCCCTGTCCCTGGGGGTCACATTCGCTGTTGGGGGGACCCCGAGCGGCTCTGGTGGCGGATTTTGGGGTGTCCCCCGGTGCTCGGAGTCCCTCCATCCCCTGCCTCGTCTGTCCTTTTCCCTCTCCCCCTTCCTGCAGGGGTGGACAGAAAACCCCCCAGCCCGGTGGGGAAAGCTCCGGAGCCCTTGAGCGCCATCCACGGAATCTCCATCCCGACCTCCTCGTCCTAGAGCCGCCGAGCAGCTGCCCAGGGACTCTTGGAATGTTGGAATCAGCTCCTGCAGCCCGGGGCTGAAGCCCGGAGCGGGGACAAGGGGACAGCCTGGGCGGTGACAGGTGACTTTCTGCCTCGGCAAATCCCCGGCAGGACATTCCCGGAGGGACACTTCGCCTCCATCGGATCGGAAAGGGATGACAGAAGAGACTCAGTTTTCTTTATTTTATTTTATTTTATTGTATTTTCTCCCCCTTGCTTCCAGTTTTTCCTTCTCCTTCCCCATACTCCCGAGGACTGTTGGATGCCGTGATTCCCTCCGTCCCCAGGCACTGCCGGGAGCATTCCCGGCTCTGTCCCAGCCCAGGGGAGCAATTCCCGGCTTCCCCAAGGAGCATCCGGGCTGGAGCCCTTTCTCCAGCCCCTTCCCAGTGCCTCTGCCCCGGGATGGAAATGGACCAAAAGTGCCAGGAACGTTTTATGGGATATTTCTTTAATAAGGAACCTCAATAAAAAGTGACAACCGTGGGCACACTGCAGTGACCGCCCTGCCTCAGGGTGAGCACCGTCCCTGCTCCAGAGCAGCTCTCCGGGAGCGGGAGCACTCGGTGGGATCCCTTGGAATCGCTCCCTGGATTCTCCCGCATCCCGGGGTTCCGTGGCCACTTCCCCGCCACATCACCTGGCCCCGGGGGGCTGCCCACCCCCAGGGGACTGTCCCGTGTCCCCGCCTTCCCGGGCTAGCCGGCTGGGATGCGTTCAGGACGGGGTTTCGCATTCCCTGGCTCCTCCAGCCGCTGCCGCTGGCGTCGATCCCTTCATTGTGTGGGAAGGGGCAGGTCCTGCAGCGGGGCAGGGAGGGAATATCCTGGCAGGAGAAAACACGCCGGGATTTCTGCGGAGAGGGCGTCTCGGTGGGAGGGAGGGAAGGAGGGAGCCGGGAGATGCCAACACAGCCCGCCCCGGGACGCGGTTTTGTCTCCAACCTCGGCGTGGCAAAATTCGGCTCTGCCTCTGCTGAAGCCAGGCTCAGATTCGCCCTGCGGAGCTCGGCAGGGAGGGAAGCTGGGAAATCCAGGGAGGTGAGAGCACAGTCCCAGGGCAGGATCTGCAGCCCGACTGTGGCTGAGTGGATTTTAGGGATGTGAGGATGCAGGAGCCACCTGAACCAGAGAAGGAGTGGCCCTGGCCCGTCCCCTGCCAGGTTATCCAATAAAAGCCGCATTCCAGCGGGTGGAAGAGCAGCTTTGGGAGTGATGAGGGACAGCAAAACCCCTGAAGTGTGGTGTTTGCTGTGTGCCAGTTCTCAGCATCCACTGGGGCTCCTCATCTCTGCATTCCAGGCAGGGATATCCCTCTGGATGTGGGACTGGGGCTCTGGGATGAGCAAGGCACCAGTGCTGGAGTCAGATCCTTTCCATTCTGTTCCTGCCGGGATGTGACTCCTCATCCCCCTATCCCAGGCAGGGATATCCCTGTGGATATGGGACTGGGGGCTCTGGGATGAGCTAGGCTGGAGTCAGATCCTTTCCATTCTTGTCCTGACAGGATGGTGCATGAGCACCTGAATTATTCCCTTCCAAGACTGCCGTGAACCTGCCCAAACCCTGGAAATGTGGTTGGGGATGCTGAGCATCCCCCAACAGCCACAGGGCAAAGGTGGCCATTCCTGGGCACTCCATGAGTGTGATTAAAAAATGCCATCTTCATGATTTCCTGTGGAGAAGGGATTTTCTCCTTAAACATCCCCAAAAAATTTCCCTGTGCCCAGCAGAATTCCTGGGGCAGGCAGAGCTACCAAAAACCCCAATCCAGAGGCCCTAAACTGGCTGGCACCTGTTGGGAGGGTCCAGGACATCATGGCTTGGGGTCTCCAGGAAGGAGGGATAAAGGAGGAGATTTGCTGGATGGGAAAACACCCTCGGGACTTGTATTCCCATGGGAGCATGGAGAAAATCTCTGGGGAAATTCAGTGCCTGCACCGTGCACCTCAGCTCATGGAAAATCCTGGGAGTGGAGACCACGCCCCCCCCCCCCCAAAAAAAAAAAAAATCACCAAAATAAATAAAATAAAATGGGGTTTTTAGGCAGGGTGAGGTGAGGTGCTGCTCTGCCTGGCCACAAAGCAGGCAGCCTGACAGAATTTAGGGAAAATTGGACTTGATGGGAGCAGGACTTTTGGAATTGACGGGAACAAAGCGAGGGGGTGGAAACAATCAGCTCTGACACTTCTGCAGCCATGGTCCTGTCAAAATCGATCCCATCCCTCAGAACACAGCAATTCGGACGGAATGGGGTTTGCAGCCTGAAAGAAAATGAGGCTGGAACTGTTTCCATCAGCTCTACCTGCTCCATATATCTTTAGCACCCTTTGGAGAGCACAGAGCAGGAAGGGGAATGTTTCTGGAGACTTGCTGGTGGACCCCAGATTGATTTCTTTCCTGGAGTGTTTGGAATCCTGAGGATTTAAACCCATCCCTCTGCTGTAGGAACAGGCTGGGGGACTGGGGCTTGCAGATGTTTGGCACCAGCACAGGATCTGCTTTCCCGGGATTCCAGTGCTCTTCGCTCTGGGTTGTGGCTGGAGAAGCTGGAAGGAGCTGGAGGGGATCCCTTCAGAGATCAGGGATGGCCCAGGGAAGATCCAGGTCCATCATCCTGTGGATGATCCCAAGATACCAAAGACTGGGCCCAGGCTGGAAAAGAGCTGCTCTAAAATTCCCAAAGTCAGATTGGTGCAAATCCTTTGGGTTCTTTGGAGCTAAATCCTCCTCCTTGTGCAGGAACTTGGAAAAATCCATGCCCAGCTCTCCGGAGAAGCTGCAAATCCCCCCCTCATTTGCAGGGTTATAAACCTGCCCGCAACTCCTTAAGTTGCACTTGGAAATGGGAATTTGATTCCCAGCTCCCTCAGGCACTTCATAACATTCCCTCTTAATAGGGAGTTTTTCATTTTCGGGGAATCCAGCAGGTTTTTACCTCTGGAAACCTTCCCCAAAAATTTTCTGCTGCTCCCAGCCCATGGCCCAGGAAAATCCCACCTCATTTCCCAGCGAGAGGCTGGAGAAGGGGCTTTTATTCCCTGGAGCTGCTGGGAGAGGTTTGGAATGGGAAGGTTTTGAGGGGAAGCGTCAAGGATCGGTCTGGGATGTGTGGGATCAGCCTCCCTGGGATTGAATGGCTGCAGGACTACGGCCCTGGCGGAGTTTTGACAGAACTCTCCATAATTTGGAGAAAACTGGGGATGATAAATGGCAGGAAAAAATTCCCTGAACCCTAATTATAGTTTCACTCCACTACCAAGCAGCTCTGTGGGTTCAGGGCTCCTTGCAGAAGCTTCCAATGGATTTTGGAGGAATTGCGAAGGGAGATCAATGACACGGCTGACAAACCTTTTCTTCCCTGTTATTACTGATAGGAATTTAATCATTCCCATGGGGAAAACCTCCCTCCTCCCTGCCATCCCATCTCCTGCAGCAGAAATATGAAAGTCTTTTTAATCCCAAAGTTATATGGACCTGGCAAGGAGCAGCGAAGCTTTCACTCCTGGAGATATCCCCGTTTTGGCACCGTGATCCCAGAAAATGATGTCATGCGGGATTTCTGTGCCAGAGTTTTCCCTTTCTTCTTCGGATTTGTGGCGATGTCAAAGTTCCTCTCCGGAGCAGGTCTGGTTTTAATATTCCATATTTACGTTTTTCATTTCGGGGCTGGCTGGAGGCTCCGTTGGTCCCAACCTCGCGGATGCTGCCGGAAGGAGCGAGGAAGAGGAGCTGGGATGGATTGATGGACACTGTTGGATTCCTAAACCTTGGGAAGAAGCCCTAAAATAGTCCCTGCTCATTTCTCAGGAGCTGTAATTCCCTCTGCTCCACTCCACTACTGTTCCTGTGCCCCTTCCCACAGGGAACACCTCCCTTTGCCAGGAAGGATCTTGGAGCTGATCCTGGATCTGCCAAGCCTCATGAATCCATGAAAAATCCCTGGGAAGTGAAAGACCCAAGGTCCCGAAGTATCCATGCCTTGTGAGATATTGAGGAACACAGTTTGTCAAAGATTTTCCTGATCCCAGGAGGAGACAGGAGGCCTGTGGAAATGGATCCACATTCCTTGAGCTGCTAAAGTGGGAATAAACCAGGCAGTGTTGGAGAATCCCTGCTGCCCAAAACTTTTCCTGCAGGAACACTCCGGAGACAGCAGGGAATTCATCTTTTTGGCTTCCTTGGATTGCCAGAGCCATATTTTAAGGTTGGGAATAGTTGTCAACATCCAGGCACGGCCCCCGGAGCCGGTGACGCAAATGTGACAGGAGGCAAGGTCCAAAGCCTCTCCTGGAGAACTGGAGGTTTGGGGAAAGGGATGAAACATGCCAGGAGGAAAAAAAATCCCAGTAAAGTGCTGGAAACCTTCTGGAAAGGGAGAATAAAATTCCCTCTGGCAGGAACTTGGTTGCTCTTGGAGGCAGCCGGTGAATTCCAAAGCCACGTCCCTCAAAGCCAACGCCCCCCCGGAACTGGCAGCAAAGGGTCCTGTGTCAGTGGGGTTTGGAAGTACATCCATAAGGGATTCCCAGCTTGGATCTTGGGTGAATTCTGTCCTTCCAGGAGGGCCTGGAGACCTCAAGCAAGGCTGAAGAGGGAGGTGAGAAACCACCGAAGGAGTCCATGGAAGGATGGTCGGAATTCCCTGCATTTCACCTGCTGGGTTGATCCCAAGACCCTTCCAAGGAGTTTTGCACCCCCAGGAACTTCCCTGCCTTGTGAACATTCCCTTTCCTTCATTCCACCTTGGATGAGGCGGGGCCACCTGGCTCTATCCACTCTGGGAATCACCTCCAGGAAAAATTCCATGCCAAAAAGAGCTTCCAGAGCCAGAGCTGTCAAACTCCATCTAGCTCCGGGATTAAATTCCCTCCCATCTCCCAAGCAATAACAAAACACCAACATTATGGAAAAGCTGTCAGGAATCCGATTGTTTTCCAAACACCACGGGTCCCTCTCCATTTCAAGGAACGAG